TCTAGTTTTTCCTAGGAAAATTACATTTCATGTTTACTACTTTCATATGAGTGAGTCCATTGGAAATGACGAAATGAAGTAGGCCTGAAAGAGAGAGAACCAGGAAAGCAACGGGCTGTAGCTTGCTTGGAAAGTTTTCGCTGTCATAATGGTCATCTTTTCATTTGTTGTCATAATGGCTACAGTTAAGCGTGATCACATACTTGACCAGCCCCATTTTTCTTATTGAAAGTTCTCTCTAGCAATACCACACCAACTCCCCAAGGTAGTGGAGTCCAAGAAACCAGAGAGTCAATATTTCATAGGTTGAGTTCAACTGTCACAGTGGGAAGGAGGTGGAAGTCCCCAGTGTACAATTTGGGACACGCTTTCGACTAACAAAAATGAGACTCTGATGGTCCGGGAGGATCCAGGTAATCCACTTTTCTGTTTTCTTGATCATTCAGAAATCCTGGGTAAAGCTTGTCATTACTGATGAATACCACCTACCAGACAGTTGACTTCCATCGGGAGGTGAGTTTTTAATGGGAAAGTTTTGTGCAAGGTGAAATATACCTCCTTGATGCATGCACGTATCCAGCTCACTAATGCAGGGTCTGAGACCAGATGTCCATGAGTAATTCATTCAAATGAAATAAAGCCTATTCATTCGTCTTGCCAGGATTCACCTGCTCCGTTGTTTAACACCAACCAAATCAAGTCATTTGTACCTTTCTTGTTTACAGGGATGTTTCTAAAGAGGCCATCAAACACTGCCTCAGTCTGATCAGGAATAATGAAGCCACTGCCTGGTCTTAATTATACCAGAAGCAGGAGTTTGGTGCTGGAGGAGAGTAAAGAGAAAGCTACCCTCTTTCCTAGGCCGTTCCAAAGGACTCAGACACACGTGCTCTTACAAGAAATATAAGACACAGAGATGGTCGTATGAACAGGCGTCTGGGATGTTTGGACTTTCCAAGTGGTTCCACTTTTCCACTGCAGAGCAAGATTACTGCAGAGCAAAAAATGGAATTCTACTCACTTGCTTTGTAATGACTTTCAAAAGCTTTAAGGAGACACGCGTGAAAGATTATTGCTCGTAATGTCTTCTATCCTGAGGGTCAGTATCCAAAGGACAACTCAGTGCTGTGAGCTCTGCTTCCCACAGAGGGAGGGTAACCGATCGGCTGCCTTCCGAGCCTTTGTACACCGCGGTGTGCCTCTCTTCTCCCACAAGTAACCCCAGTGGGATTGTGGTTGAAATAAATAAATATGTATCTTTAGAATATTTGATCTCTCTCTCTCTCCGGAACGTGGTGCATCAATTAAATGTTTGTGATTTCTTCTCCTCTGAGACCACAGTAGAGTTTAACATCAATGACAGTCTCTTCTTTTAGGGGATTTATCCCACTAGTGTTTAGGGCCTTAGCACTGCTTTTCTTATAACCTGCTATCGTGATCCCTCCTTCTCGTTCCTTTCGACACAGGGGTGCTGATATCCCTGTGATCCTGAGATATCTCCCTTCTCTCTCTTTTTTTGGTTAAAAAAATTTTTTTTCTTTATTGATTTTAGAGAGAGAGGAAGGAAGAGGGAGAGAGAGTTAGAGACATCGATGAGAGAGGACATCAATTGGCTGCCTCCTGCATGCCCCCCACTGGGGATCGGGCCCACAACCTGGGCATGTGCCCTGACTGGGAATCAAACTGGTGACCTCTTGGTGCAGGGGCCAATGCTCAACCACTGAGCCACACAGGCTGGGCTCTCCCTTCTCTTTATACTCCCCCTTCATAATTCCGCTCTATGTAGAGGACCAGAGGACTATCATTTAATCAGAAGCTCTTTCCAGAACCCCTGTCCAATCATTGTTGCATTGAGACCTTGCCAGACAGCTCTATGCCCTGCTCTGGGTCCACTGTGCAATTAACCCTCTTCTCTCTTCTCTCTTCTCTGTCCACCAGTTTAGAGCTTCTTCAAAATACTCACGTTAGCCAAGCTGCAACACAATACCCAGAAAAAAATATTACACCTCTATCCTCCCATAAATATTGGTGTTTTAACAAGGGACTCTTCTCCCCATAGTCCACCCTCCTCTTTGGAAAACGGAATAACCTTCTGTGGGCTCTCTGAGTGCTGTAGACAGGCAGGGGGACATATGTGGGTGCTGATACTATTTTCATCACAACACCCACTTTAGCTTTGTATCAGTCAGGTCCAATCAGGACATGGAAATTGCTTACTAATTTCGAGAGGAAAATTGAATATAAAGAATTGTTAACTATAATAGAGGATTGGGGTACCAAGGGATTGGCTAGTAAGAAGTTAAGTCTAGAGAATACAGGACTAGCACATAAAAGGAGCTGAGACTATTCCTGGAGTTGAGAGTCAGCACCCAAGGAAGAAGCCTCACCCCAGTCCCTCCAAGCACACACACAACTGAGGTCCAGATCTCCTTGGACAGGGCATGGCTGTGTCTTATGTATTCCTTGTGGGAGCTAAATGTTTATTAATCCAAACTTTTACGTTAGATCTACCTACCGTGAGGAAAGGGCTCTTAGGTTAGAACACATGCAAAAACACGAAGATCCGTCTCTACACTGGCACGTCCCCACTCCCCGGGCTAATGTCCTGGGGCACATTATAGTCAAGAGTGAACTAAAAAATCAGAAGGAGTTTCACTCCACTCCACCTGCTCGCATGGATTTCAAGACTTACATTTGATACACATTATAGTAGGTTGGGTTATACCAAGGCAACAGTATCATTTTTACTTCCACAAATGGGCTGAAATAGTACAAATTAAGCTTCTCTTCGAGATGTCTCCCTTCCCATTACCATAATCTGTAAGAAATGGGATGTAAAAGAAGGGATAGACCACAGGTAGTTACAAAAACAGATAACTCCGAGAATAATCAGCACCTATGGTCAGCAGAGCACAGTCTTACAAAATGTATACCCCTTTAGGTGCCAAAGTTCCTCACTGGTAGGTGACCCCCTGGAGGCACTTGCCTACGAATCTGCCTAAGGGGCTGCTTATGGAAGCTGCTGGCCACTGGATACTGTGGGCCACTGTGTGGTGCAGGAGGCAGATGCTGGAGAAACCATCTTTGCTCCCTGGTCTGCAGACAGAAGCACACTAGAACCAAAGAGAAGGCTCCCTCTTCTTACTGTCACTACAGTGCCCTCTATTGACAAAGCTGAACATCCAGCTGGGCCCAGCAAAGGAAAAATATTTAAAGGACCCCACTGTATTTTCACAGAGCAGCCAAAAAGGATGAATGTGGAGCTGAGAGGCAATAAGCTGGTAAGCAGCACAGGTGTGTTTGTACAAACCCTCATACAAGTAGGCAGGTGACTTCGGTTATTCCCATCATTCGATGCACATTCTCTTTGCATCCTGTCGATCATTTTAGTTCATTGTGAGGGCAAGGATTTTTTTTTTTCCTCCCTAATTTATGAATTCCAGTGTTTGCCAAAAATGTCCATTGTCTGTTCTCAGGACATACTTGCTAAGTGTGAAAGTGCAACAGTCTGGCACACTAGCTCAGTGGCTGAACAGACTCTGGAGCAGAAGGCTTAGGTTGGAGCATGATTCTGCCACTTACTGGCTGCATGACCTTGAGCAATGATTTAGTCTTGTCTGTACCTTGGTTCCCTCATCTGTATAATGGGAACAACAGTACTGAACTCATTGGCTTATTGTGACAATTAAATAAGTTAATACAGACATGTCCCACTCCATAATAGTAATCCCTTTTTGAAAAATCAGAGTTCCGCAGGAAAACCTGGAGCCTGTGTTGTTATTTAAAAAAAAACAACTTGAATATATAACAAATCAACCAACCTTACCACCCCCCCCAAGCAATTTCTTAAACTAACTAAACATAGTAAATCCCTCAACAGAAACCATCAAACTACAATGTCAAATGCTCGAACATCCCTCGTGATCACCAAGTACTATTAACCAGTGGAGTTTCATATGCTTTTTTCTGTAGTCATTTTTCTCTCTCGCTTTGCTTCTTCTCTACAGTTTTCTTTGGGGCTTTCTCAACTTTGTTTTGAACTCTATAACGTCAGGCAAAAACAAGAGCTCAATAGGGCAGTCAGCAGGATGCAGGTTCAAGACCAACATGCACTGGCGGGTAAAGGTTACACTGAGCAGCACAGTGAGGGTTCTGGGCACCAGCAATGTCCTAGTCGGCTCACTGCTGAGCTGCACCCCTTTGTCAGACTTTTCAAAAGGTTTATGCTCGAATTTGATCTTTTGCCAATTGTATCTGAAATGAAACTTTTCCTGCACGTGGTTTGGTTTGAAAATGCCTTGAGTTTGGGGATCTAAATATGCTTCCTTCTATAAACAACTGGAATGTGTCCAATTGAGAGGTTCTACTCCTTTAGAAAGTTTGGATATTAGAAACCAAGTAGCTCTCTACTGGTAAAACTGGAAGCATGTGGTTGGTCTTTAGAATACGCCTGGCCTACAGAACACCATGTAAGGGTTTGTTCTCTTACCAGCCTGACTGGTTAACCTTACCAATGGATGTGTTCTATCCTCCCTCCCTCCCTCACTCCCTCCTTCCTAACATATTTGGGGGGGGGGGCTCCTAATAAGTGCTGGACTCCATTGCTAGCCATGGGGGGTAACGTGGTGAATGAGATATGGTCCCTACTTTCAAAGGGCCAACAATTTAGGGGGGAAATAGGGGACCATTGTGGCACTGCTTGGAGAGAGTGCAGGGCAGGGCAGGCAGGTGACAAGCTGACCTTAGGGAGCAGCTGGCCGGGGAGGGAGGCAGGAGGACTGGATCCCCTAACCCACGGGACCCAGGAGGAGAAAGCGAGATTCTATCCCTTGCGCAACTACAAGCCCCACAGACTTCTCCACGTCAAGTCTGAGGCTGCATGGCCCCGCCCCACGGGCTGCATGGCCCCGCCCCGGAACCTTGTGTCGCCGGAACTCGATGCGGAAGTTCCTTCGGTTAGCACCGGACCGGCGCTCACGGGACACTTCCGGTAAGGAAACATGGCTGCGGCCGTGCGGGACTCACGTGGGAGTGCGGGGAAGAAGCTGAAAAATTCTCTGAAGAAGAAGAAGAAGATGAAAACGGCAGCCAGGGCGGTCGCCTCGGAGCTGGAAGACGGAGACACGGACGCTGCGGGCGCGGGAGGTAACGTGCTGGGGCCGAGCCGGGCTGCGTAGACCGAAGGCCGGGCCGAGTCCGCGGGAAGCCGGGCAAGCGAGCGCCTGGGCTCCGAGCCGCTGAACCTCGGCCCCGCGCGGCGTCCGAGGGGCGACTTCGGCCGGGAGACGAGGCTTGGGGGGCGGGGGTGTAAAGGAAGGACGGAGGGGACGCCTTGTGGGCCCCGCCAGCTTCTTGGGTTACAAGGAATTAGTTGCAGGCGCCCCCGACCTCGTACAGCCCAGGCGTTGCCGTAGCAGCCAGAGCTCACGTGCCTCGGCCCCTCAGTTACCTTCTCAAGGTGACCCAGTGTTTTCGCATCTCAGAGAAGCATCCCAAGCCCTTAGCCCACCTGACCTAGCTCGGGTCATCTCTGCCCCCCTGGTCCTCACTAACCACTAACAGATCCAGCCGTCCTGACGCCCTCGTGGTTCGCCGAACACACCCACCAGGGTTTCTGCCTTCGCTGCCTAGAAGACGTTTAGGTGTGAGCATGGCTCACTCTCTTCCTCAGTTCCTGTAGCATTTTTTTTTCTTTATTGATGCTAGAGAGAGAGGAAGGGAGAGCTAGAGATAGAAACATCGATGAGAGAGAACATCGATTGGCCCCCACCTGCATTACCCCCAACTGAGGATCAGGCCCACAACCTGGCCATGCGCCCTGACCGGGTATGGGACTGGCGACCTCTTGGTGCAGGGTGGGCACTCAACCCCTGAGCCACAGGGTCGGGCTTCCTCAGTTCCTGTAAGCTCTGATCCACTGGGTGGTCAGCAAGACCTGTCCCTGGTCACCCAATCGAATGCACCGCCCGGTCTTCACTTTGTGACTTATTACCCCACTTTACTTTCCTAGCGTTTCCAAAACCATCTGACATTTTATGTTTGCTCTATGTCTCTTCCAGCTGGAATGGAAGGTCCATAAGGGTAGAGATTGCTGTATCTCCATGGCCTGAAACAGGGCCTGTTGCGTGGTGGATCATTCGCAAATGTTCACTTAAATGAGTGAATAAACCTGAACTTCCAGAACCAAGAGGAAGACACTGTTATATGCTACTGCTGACCCTAGATGCTTAGAGTCCTCCCTACCTGCCAGAAGAGTTAAGGAAAACAAGCTATTTGTTGAACAAGAATGAGAACTTTTGGTTCTGATATGTTTATAAACCTCAGTAGACTAATTCATGTGCACTTGTAAGTACTACTTGCAAATTTAGGTGGAAATTAGATTTTCCTTTTCAAGTACTGGATAATTCCAAGTTAGAGCTCTTCTGACTTCTCAGTGCATTATTGTAAATAAGGGTCGAAGGTTCTCTTGATAATATAGATCAATTATATTATAGGTTAAGAGAACTTTGCTAACAAGGAAACCTAATTATCCACTTCAGTTCAACACTTGGGTTCCATTATATTCCAGGCACCATCTGGGTGGTGAGGATACAAAGGATGAATAGATTCCTGCCCTAGAAATACAATCTTAGGAAAGATATTAAACACAGGACTGTAATACAATGGATTGAGTGTTGTTATTAAGAGGTAGTTATAAAGGTAGTTATCATGATCGTGGTCCAATTGAAAATAATGAGGATGGAGACAGAGAAATCCATATCCTATCCAGATCCAGTCTTGGCATTGCTTCCTTCTATCTTTTGCATGTTACTAACAGTATACTGTATTACTTTATTTTAACTTGTCTCTCTCCTTACAAGATACACGTTTTTACTGGTGTCAGCATTCTGAGCTCCTGTTTCTTGAACGCTGTATGCTCTGTCTCCTAGCAGAGCTTCTGCTGTTCTACGAACATGCTCTGTTTTTCCTTCACTTTCTCTTAACCATCTTTCCTGTATCCTTGAGATTTCGAGTCAGTTGTCCCCATCCACTTTTTCTTTCAAGATTTAGGCTTCTCTGCAATAGGAATAAATAATAAAGGGCCTTTTATTTACTATATTCAGCAATGAAGATCCATTGTTTGTAAGATGGGACACTGTCTTGTGGTTTAACTCAGGACTTGCCACCTAATATAAGAAACTGTTTTCTTGTGATGAAATCAGGTATTTCTGGAAAGGTGGCCCGTTCAGACAGTTGTGTATATGTGGCCTTGGAGAGTTACTACATCATCAGAATTTTTCAGATAGCAGATTCGGAGAAACTGTAAAGGCAGGAGATTGAATTTGGCTTCAGACCCAGGAAAAATCAGTGCAAATTATAGGCTTGGCGTTACCTGCTCATTTTTTCAGGAAGCTGAATGGGAGACTTATCTTTGAATTTTAATTGGATCCTAAAAATTGATAGGGATATGCCCTACCATAGCATTTTGAAAGCAATTTTCTTTAGCAAGATGCTCCTTAAGTTTCATAGAGAAAACACAGGTATAACCCTTGTGTTGCTTGAATTTTATTTTTCATCTTTTTCCTTTAATTTCCGTTGACAGATAAGAAAGATAAGAAAAGTATGCTCTTATGGGTGTAAAACTCTTAAATATCGTTGGCCAGACTGCAGAAGTTCCCTGGTTGTGTGAGGACAGGCCTGTCAGCCTTGGTGAGGACCGTGACTCTGAACTTGGCGTGTAGCACTGATATCCACGTACCCTTTCACTGCATTGGGAACTTCTCTTACTGTGCTTTTTACACTCGTCTCGTGGACCTGAGATTGTTGAGGGTAAAATGAACAGAAGTTGTATGTTATGTAAACTTGAATGATAGCAAATGATTCAGAATGGATTTTTGGTAAATTGTAATACTCTTCAGAAGGGTTTGAAATTTGATCATAGCAGAATCACAAGTGATCCTGAATCAGAAGTATATGGGAGGCAAATGCTACAGCCAGCCTTTTAGGTAATAGGTAAATGTCAGGCATTATAAGGGGGAGGGTGGCACCCCTGAGTTAAACTTGAACTGCTTAGATTTACTGAACCAGATACCTTATTGGAGGTTTAGATACAATGAATATTTGGCTATTAAGTTTGCAGCCTTTAAAACACACACACACACACACACACACACACACACTCACTCCCTCTCCCTCTCCCTCTCCCTCTCTCCCTAGTCAGTAAATCGACTCAGGTGCAGAAATGCAAACACTGGTTGATGGTACCAAGTATTATAAGGGAGGATCATAACTTCTACCTCTTAGTCATCCTCAACTACTCAGATTTATTGAACTGATGCGTCATTGGAGGTTTAGACACCGTGCTAGCTTGATTCTTAAGCTTGTAGTCTTAAAAAAATTTGTGTGGTCAGTAAATCAACTCAGGTGGAAAGAGCCTTGGTTGTTACCCAGTGCCGGGAAGTGACGGACCCTCCCTCAGAACGTGCCCATGTGGCCATGAACTAGTAGGGAGGAGTGGCCATCTTACGTTTTCTGAATTGTTCTGGTCACATGCATGAAAAAGGCATATACTTCTGATACAAGACTTCATAACAAGCTAGTTTATCAGTCCTAAGAGCTATCCCTTCATTTTTGATAAACTGCAAAGCTGTACTTAAGATCTAATAACCTAGCAGATAAATGTGCTTTTCATCAAACTGTAGCTTATAGCCTCCTTCATCATTTAAGTTACTTAAAATAGCAAAGGGACATGCCTAAGGAGTGAAGTATATCTTGGTCCTACTTGAGTGGCTTAGCAATTTATAGGACGGACTCAGCCCTGCCTGCTTCCAGGCTCCGTCTGCTTTGCTTGCCCAGATCACGCGTGTAATCACACCTGACAGTTTGTCTCATGGTAGCAATTGTTCTTTCTTGTTGGTTATTTTTATGGAAACATAGGATGGCTTCATTTTTTTTCAAAGGTCAGTGCAGCTTTAAATTTTAAAGCATTAGTTTTGAATGTCCTAAATTTAGTACTAATTGGTGGGAAAGAGCATGCGGCATGAGCCGCACACGTGACTCACAACCGGAGTGGGGACCAGCAGTGTCCCTGAGCTCTGAGTGTCCAGGGGATGTGCTTTCTTGGCCGAACCTCAGCAGGGGAAGGATCGGCTGTTCTGGGTCCCTGGGGCTTAGCTGGAAAGTCCTTATTAATTCAGGCTTTGTTAAAACATTTAATGACTATTTTCTGCATTAGCTCAGTACACGTTAGTCTGAGCTGAATCTTTGATTCAAAGCTTTGCATTGCCTCGGAAATCCACCAGCCCTATCACTCTGCCCCATTAACTTTATGACTTTGGACATGTTTGTAACTTTTCTAATAAACTTCAGAATCATCCTCGGTGGAAATAGATAATATTAGGAACTAATGGAATGTTGGAGGATTAAAAAGCGTTTTAAATGGTAGCTAGCTCTTAATATCTGTTCACTAGTTAGTATTAGCATTACGTTAACCAAGATTGTAGATACAATTATAGTGGAAGTACAATCCATTTTACCCCTCTGTTTTTCTAAATTCTTTTTTAAGCTTTTGGGATCCTTCGCTGCTCTGTCTTCCAGGTCCTCAGGGTCCTGGTCTGTCCTCCGGTTACTTACGGTCATTTATTTCATGCCTACTGTGAAGCAGTCCCCGCTAGTGCCTTCCATGTGTTATCTCATGGAATCATCTTAGCAACCTAGTGAGGCAGGTACTATTTTTATTCCCATTTAAAGAAGAAAGTGAGACGGAGGGTTTAGGTAACTTGCTCAAGATTAAGCTGTTAGAAAGTAATGAAATCGGGATACATGCCAAGTCTGTCTGCTTTTACAGTCTGAGCTCGTAACCCCCACACTGTAACTTTCTGGTCCCCTGAACTTCCCATCAGCCCTCATGTCTTGCGATTTCGGCTTCCAGGGTCTGTCTTCCGTGCTCCCTTCCTCCCCTCCACCAGCCACATTAAATTCTCATTATGTGAGTCTGCAGTAGGCCCTTCCGCAGTTTTGCTCTCCGCTGTTTCACTTACCGGCAGTCAACACACACTTTCAGAGAGAGAGGAAAGCATTATTACTGTATATTGTTATAACCGTTCTATTTTATTATTAGTTGTTTTTATTAATTTCTCACTGCACCCAGTTTATAAATTAAATTG